ACTCCTCTCTCTCTCTCTCTCTCTCTCTCTCTCTCTCTCTCTCTCTATCCCTTGTTCTGCGTTACTGACAAGCACAAACAAAAAAAAAGATCACAGGACCGCGCCTGGCGCCTTATGGAAAACCAGGGCTAGCTCGAGACGGACGACTGGACCGTGGCGGGGACCGCGGCGGGCGTCGCGGCGGCCACGGCGGTGGCCTCGTCTGGCGGCGGCGGCGTCAGGGCTGGGGTGCGGCTGCTGGGCTGGAGGGGCCTGCTCGGCGCGGCCGGGTCGGGTAGCGTGGTCGGCATGGTCGGCTATCTGGGCTGGAGGTACGGGGTTAAAAAGGGGCAGCGGGAGGCTGTGGCGCTGTGATGGGCTTTTTTTTGGGGCAAGAGAAGATTTTGGGAAGCGCTGTGCTGTGTATATATGTATACCCCTGAATGTACTGTGTTTGTATTCGCTATGCTTGAAACTGGGAGGAAGGAAGGACGAAAGGCTGCTGCTTCATACCATCGACTTGACGCTCTCTAAAAGCAAAAAGAATACCAGAACCCAAATCTAGGCCCCTTCACAGCTTCGCCTTCCCGCCCACGAGCTTCTCCACCTCGGCGAACTGGTAGTAGTACTCGAGGCTCTGCGGGTTCGCTAGCGTGCCCGAGGGCTTGACCCTGGTGCCCGACACGATCTGCTTGACGGGCAGCTCGACCTTCTTCATGTTGACCGTGGTCTTTTTTTTGGTTTCGGGGAATGTCAGCAACAGAGCCCCAAAAATGCAAACAACAGACAGAAAAGGAAGAAAGAAAGGGGGGCAACAAACCGGAATCTCGGGCGTCTCAAAAATGTACTTTGGCACGTGCCGCTTCGACAGGTCCCGCGCGATGGCCTCGCGCACCTCGGCCTCGAGCCGCGCGTCGAACCGACACCCTTCCCTCATGAGCAGGAAGAGCATGACGCGCTCGTCCGGGTCGCCGGGCCTGCGCTGCCCGACGCAGAGCGAGTCGGCCACGCGGTCCGCGAACCGGCGGCCCTCGAGCACGCCGTAGATCTCGGCGGACCCGAACCGCACGCCCGACGGGTTCAGCACGCCGTCGGACCGGCCCAGGAAGTGCAGCCCGCCCGTGAGCGGGTGCACGGCGCAAAAGTCGCCGTGCGCCCACGCGTGCTCGAAGCGCGCAAAGTAGGACGCGTGGTACTTTGACCCCGGTGGCGCCCCTCCTGTTCCTGTTCTGTTGTTGGTGGTGTCACCGCCGCTCACGGCAGGGTCGCCCAGGTCGTTCCAGAAAAAGGGCGGGGCGTTGGGGAAGCTGTTGACGACGACGAGCTCGCCCGGCTCGCCCGCGGGCAGCTCCCGGCCGGCGCCGTCGGGCGACTGCGAGTCGAAGATGCGCACGTCCATCCCTAGCGACGGGCCCTGCGTGCCGCCGAGGTAGACGGGCGTGAGGGGGTTCATGACGCCAAAGGTGCCGGCCTGGTGGGGGGTTAGTGTTGGTGTAAGATGTAGGAATGAGAGGGAGGGAGGGAGGTTGTATAAAAACATACAATGTCGGTGCCCCCAGAGATGTTGCCGAGCTGGACGTGGGCCGGGAACCCCTTTTCGTAAAACCACTCAAAGAGCTCTGTGTCAAGAACAGCGTCGTCAGTCAACCTCACAGAAAGAAAAAAAAACATGTCACAGAAACAAAAACCCACGGTCAGAAAGCACCATCCCTGTCGAGGCCACAACTTTTAGCTTGGACAAATCCGCCAGCTCCCGCGGCGCCAGCCCAGCCTTTGCCAGCTCCAGCATCCACCTGGGGCTCACCCCCAGCTTGGTGACCCCCAACCTCCCCACCAGCTCGACCAGCACGCGCGGGTGGGGCACGAACGGGCTGCCGTCGTACAGCACCGTGCGGGCGCCCAGCAGCAGCGCCCCCGCGGTGGCCACGTACATGATCCAGCCCGTCGTCGTGAACTGCAGCGCCACCGTCGACGGGCCCACGTCCTCGTGCAGCACCGCCTCCTTGTAAAAGTTGAGCAGCAGGCCGCCCACCGAGTGCACGATGGCTTTCGGCGTGCCCGTCGTGCCGCTGCTGTAGCACACCAGGAACGGGTCGCGGAACGCGAGGCGCGCAAACGGCGGCGGCGCCTTGCCCCTGCCGGCCTTTAGCAACTCATCCCACGTCTCGGCCACATCGCCAACGTCGCCGCGCGCGTCGTTGTGGAAGCGCGGGATGGCCACGACGCCCTCAAAGACGTCCCCACAGCGCTCGCGCAGCCCGCGCGCCACGTCGGCCATCTTGGCGCGCAGGTCCGTCACTTTCCCGTTGTACAGGGCGGCGTCGTCGAAGAAGAGCAGGCGGGGGCGCACCTGCGCCGTGCGCTGCAGGATGCCGTCGGCGCCCATGTCGGTGGAGCTGGACGAGAAGACGGCGCCGACCCACGCGACCGCCAGCCAGACCAGCAGCGTCTCGACGCTGTTGGCGCCCACAATCACCACCCTGTCGCCCCGCCCGACCCCGCGCGCCGCCAGCGCCGCCGCCAGCTCGCCCGCGCGCCGCCGCAGCTCCCCCCACGTCACGTCGCGCGTCGAGGTGCCGCCCTCGCGCACCTCGGTGACGGCCACCCTGTCGTCCTCCTTGCCGCCGCTCGTCGTGCGCGCCGTCGGGTCGTTACTGGACCGGTCGCGGAAGTAGAGCGAGTTCTCGGCCCAGTTGAGCGACACGCCCTCGAACCAGGCCGGGACGGCGTCGACGGGCTGCGAGTGGTCCACCACGCGGCCGCCATGGTTGCCCTCGTGGATGTAGCCGGCCGCGTCCCAGAGGGTGGACCAAAAGGCGTCGCGATGCTGGATCGAGAAGCGGTGCAGGTCGGCGAACGTGGACAGGCCCGCGCCGCGCTCCCGGTTGAGCCGCTGCATGAAGCCGTACATGGCCGTGCTGGTCGGGTCCGGGTGCTCCCAGAGCTTCTTGGGCATGACGGTCGGGTCCATGGTTTTTTTTTTTTGGAGGGCCGCGCTTGGGTTAGGGGCTTTGTTTGGTGATTTGTGTTGACGCTGGCGTGTGATGACTTGTCTGACCGCTAACCTGGGTATAGATATGTATCTATCTGCCCTGTGTGTCGCAACGCGCCAACAAGACCGTGGAATGCTGGGCACAAGCAGAGCAGACACAGTCAGCCCCAACAAGCTCTCCCCTCAATACCCCCGGTCCGGGGATTGTGTGGGGGTTCCCCAGTAGAGTAGGGTGAGCAGGGGTGACGGACGAGCATGCGGGGGGATGTCCGTGCCGACCGCATAGGTAAAGTCTGGCGGCAACATTCCTGGTTGGCCGTCGGCACGCTCAGATCCTCCCCGAGGTGCCGAGGCTGCAAGGGCTGAGGGAGGGGGTAGCTGCCCAAGGTCGGCAAATAAGATGCGAGATATCATGGCTGCGTCTCATTGGGCACTTCGTATGTGGAAGAGAAAAGTTGATTATGGCAATTGCTATTCTGTACCAGCTATCATATCACACCCCCCCTTCTCCATGCTCGACCGAATTCATGCCGCCCTTTGCATCTCCACTTGGACGCCAAAACATGCTGGAAAAAAAGCGAAAATAAAAATAAAAAAGACTTGCTCATCAACACAAACAAGAAACCGGCCAGAGGCAGCGGCTCGAGTCAATACCCCTCCCTTCATTTCCTTGCTTCTCCCATTGCCGGATACCACCAGCCTCTATTCCCGAAATAAAGTGATCGCCATGAAAAAGAAAAGAATAC